CCGCCGCCGCTGCCACCACCCGGCTATTGGATGTTATATAGAGCAGTGTTACTATCTCTCCTTTCTCTTTCCTCTCAGTGACATTATCCGTGGTGATGGTGGTGGGGTGTCAAGCATTGATTTTTGAAGTCACATGAAGTTTGTTTTGGGCATCAAGCCCAAGTAGACTCTACAAATACTGGGGAATAAAAATAACCCTTTCGTTGCCCCTCCCCTTTTTTTGGTACTCAAGATAATGCTAATACAATACAAGACTGTATTTGATTAACCTCTTGAAATAAATTAGTCAAATGTGCCCTGAATGACTGCACCAATAAATTAGATAAAATTAATTGTGGGAGGCAGTAAGCTTGTGAAATCACTGAAGTTCATGCTGATAGCTTGCCCAGCCTCTGAGGTTGAATCTGAGGGGGTAACTGATTCCTCAGCACCAATCACAGAACTGGCCAGGACTGAGTCTTCTCATCATGATTTAGGCATTGCAGCTATTGAATGTACGTGAGCCTATTCTGTTGTTTCATTTGAACAGGGAACATATTTTTGTATTTCACATGAGCTGTGTGTGTGTGTGTGTGTGTGTGTGTGTGTGTACACACGTTCTTCTTATCCTTTTATTTTAAATTCATTGCTGGGTTCTTTGTTCATTGTTCTAGATGATTGATCCATATGAGCATGGACGTCTCATTCTGAAATATTTTTGCAAAAAGGCAAAGGTGTAAGGGCAGCCACTCGTAGTTCCAGTCTCACAGAGAACTCAGAACTGATCTGGGATTGACATAACATTTAGTCTATAGAGACTTCCAAGGGACTCTCTAGAGGGAGAATTATGGGACCTGTAAATAGAGAAGGAGTGAACAGTCAATCCAGAGTACTTCCTCTGGGAGGCGATGGCTGAGAGAGGCTTGCAGCGCCGTCTTGACTATCTGAAGAGTTCGTTATTACTCTAAGGTTACTGAGGCAGTGAGTCTGTGTGCTCTGTAATAAAACCAGGAGAAACCAGAAGGTGTAGCAGAAGAGATTTAGGTCAGATGGGAAGAAAACGGTGTTTCTCATGGGACATGAACGCAAACACTCTCTGAATTTGTGGATATGATCTTTCTAGCAGAAATCTGGCCACTCTTGAGTCTTATCTGGTGACGATCCCAAACTGAGGCTTGTTTTTGAGATCCTGAGTTCTGTGCTGTTTCTTAATTTTTTTAAATTTGAAAGCCATTCAGTTTTTTTATTGTTAGAATGGTATTCTGGTTTGATCTCTGTCTCTGAGAAAACACTATGACCAAGACCACCTTGGAAGGAAAGAGTTTATTTCAGCTTACATTTCCAGGTCACAGTTCTTCATTGAGGGAAATCAGGGCAGGAAAACATGGCAGGTAGCGTAGAAGAATGCTGTTGACCAGTTCATTGGCTGGCTCTGCTCGATTTCTTAGACAGCCTAAGCCTTAGGGATGACGCTACCTACATCAGACTGAGGCCTTCACCATCAATCATCAATCCAGACAGTTTCTCACAGACATGGCTATAGGACAATTTGATTGTGGTGACTCTTCAGATGAGATTTCCTCTTCCAGTTGGCACTAGGTTGTGTCAAGTGGACAAATAAAAACTAACCAGGATGGAAGGCAAAGTTACCCATCCCAGTATGATTTCTAGGGAATGGTAATTGTTTTCCATTCCTGAATCCTTTAGACCTGTATTAACTAACAGGAAATAGTATTTAAGGCGATGCAGTGTTCTTTTCTTTTCCAGAGAATAACTCAGTTCTCCTTTTCTATCATGTGAGTCGTGGGGAAGGTTGGGGATAGTGGGAAGGTCAAAGTGCAGTGCTCTAAGAACATTCTGGGTTTAGAAAGATGTTCCTTCAAGCAGCTTATTGAGCAGGAGTTTTAAGTTGTTTTCTCACCCTGTGACATCTGCACTTCAGATTAGGAGCTCATTGTTACTTTTTAAAAAAATCTACATTTACTTTACTTAAAAAAATAAATAAATAAAAGGAAGGGTGATGGTGAAAGACTTGGCTCTGATGGCCACAGCCCAGGCTCTGTCCTTGGAATCCACTTAAAGGTAGAAAGACGGAATCAACTCCACTTGTCTGTCTTCCATAGCCACCCTCTCCCACAGTCACACACACACACACACACACACACACACACACACGGAGACACACACAGAGACAGAGATACAGAGACATCAAGACAGAGAGAATGAAGCACGTACACACTAATAACAAATAAAATTAACTACAGAAAGGCCCCCCAATTCTGTAAGTTAGAGGAGGTTCCAAGGGAAGGCCCTGGTGTCCCCAGCAACTCAGGTATTACCACTTACCGAGCTGTTAGTGTCTGTGCCATGGTATCAAGAGAGAAACTTCTTCGACAACAAGAACAGACTGTTTTTTTTTTTTGCTTTTGTCTTTATTTTAGACTGTAGTTTTCCTTGGCTTGCAGCCTGTATTGTTCCACTCACAATACAATGAACTGAAACAATGCATCTTATTTATAATTTGTTTTTAGATCTATTGATTTCGTTTCACATGTAGGTGTGTTTTGCCTGTGTGTGTGTGTATACACCACATGAATGAGTGTCTGGTGTATACACCACATGAATGAGTGTCTGGTGCCTTCAGAGTTCAGAAGAGGGCATTGGATCCCTGGGACCAGAGTTACAGATGCTCGAGAGCTGACATGTTGTTTCTGGGAACCGAACCTGGGTCCTTTGCAAGAGCAGCAAGTGCTCTTAATAACCGAGTCCTCTCTCCAGCTCCACATTTTCTGTTTTCTTTTCTTTTCTTTCTTTCTTTCTTTCTTTCTTTCTTTCTTTCTTTCTTTCTTTCTTTCTTTCTTTCTTTCTTTCTTTCTCTCTCTCTCTCTCTCTCTCTCTCTCTTTCTTTCTTTCTTTCTTTCTTTCTTTTAAAAAAA